CTCGACATTCGTGGAATATTCCGTTATGTTAATTGGTTCGTCCATGGAATTATTGCTCTCTCTTTTTCCTCTCTCAATGTTTAGTCATGAGCGATTTCGGAGTTTTATCCCAATGCAGATCAATTGAATTGATCTGCATTGGGATACAACAGAACTCCGAATTCGTTAGCATGAACAGACCCCATATGGGGTTTAGCTGCTGATAAATTTCACAAGCCTTGTTCCTCTAACAGCATCAATCGTTATGCATCGCAAAATTATGCACCTGCTCTGTCTTAAATGACAAACTTTACGGTTGTAGATTAAGATTAAGGTTAGATTAAGGCTAAGGTTAATGACAAACTTAGATTAATGTTCGATCTGCTCTTTAGTGTTAGAAGAGCAGAACTCATGATTCATATATGAAGAGAGTGCTCAAATATTTGTTGTTTGAATTACAGTTATCCAACAGCGATTGAGATGATTGCATCGGGAAAAGTGGATCTAAAGGGATTAACAAAAGCGCACTATAAGTTGGAAGAATCACAGGATGCGTTCAACAGATTCCTCAAAGGCGATGTCATCAAAATATTCATTCATTGTGACGAAACATCGTAAAACTGTCGACTCGTTTCTTTTTTTTTGCGTACGAATCGCTGAGAAAATGCAAAGAATTTCATGAATCATTTGCTGATTCCGGTTATTTTCACTGTTGAATTAATCTATTTTCATTGCTGTAATGATCGCTCGTGTTCATGTTAGTTATTTAAAATGAATGTATCTTTACAAGGTTTACCCATTCTAGTGTAAGTTTTCCTATTTTATGGTAATTTTTTCGATATNTGTTTTATTCTAAATTTTATTGTGCTTCCGTCCATTGTTACTAATTTTATTTCGCTTTTCTTTTGTTATGTGTTCAAGATGATACAGTCTTCCGAAAATAAAATGCTAAATTAATGAAAGTGTTTAGCAACTTCAGTCGACGAATATTATCGATTTACTTGTACCTCCTTAATAATATGAATACAGCGAGTATCATTAAGAAAGAATGAAAATACCAAAACAAAATAACAGTCAAAAACAATGTATAAGTATAAAACACGACAGATAAATGAAAGACATTCGCAAATTTGATGTAAAGCAATATACATACATATATATAGAAGGAATGCAATCGAAAATGCTCAACAGCATCTTCGAGGAACGAAATATTAAACTGACATCCCTTAGGATATAGAGATACTCATTTAGAGTCATACATATCATCATAAGGAAAACAAACAATCTCGCATGCGGATACTCCACTTCGAGCAAATGCATACGAAATCTAAATGCAATCAAGTANTCGCATACGATGAATTGTACATCAATATTGGGCACAAAAAAGAGATCCCACTGAATGTCAACGAAGTAATTGTTATAAATTTGAATAATTGATCAAATGAAACAACAACGGCAAAAATATCCGTTCAGATGGTGTCTATAAGTTGATACCAAATAAAATGGAATCAATCAGAACAAACTGATTCCGTAATTAATTTCAACATAATGAATGCTTACTTCCAACTCAAATCAGTCACAAATTACAACAAATCTGAATGAATGAAAAAGTCCAACGTTCCATTATTTCTTAACGTTTTGATACAACTTTCCATTATATGCACATAAAAATAAGTTTTGAACAGAAATTGAAAAGATGCATGCACATATAAATCGACAAACAGGCAAGAGAGGTAAGTTTCCGCAGCAGCTGAGGAAGATTCACATCGAGGGCAATACTTTTTAAAATGAGGTGATTTATTTGCCACAAAAAATTCAAGCTTCTGCTTCTTCGTCGATGACTGAATCGATGTCCTTGTAGAAAGCACTCGCAGCCGGCGTTTTTACGGCTCGCTGAAGAACTGGTCGCAGACGTCGACTCGACGAAGGCGTTATCATGACGTTTCGAACGCTCGAAGCAGTCAATGTTGCTGCAATACCAGCCATGTCCGTATTTTGCTCCATCAGAACCTTTTTCAAATCCTGTTGCCGTGCTTTCGGCTTACGAGGTGGCTAAAATTAAGTTCAGTTAAGCAGTTCTATCTTACAGTTATTCTAAGTTGTAAGTTGTATCTTACAGTTTAACTGTAAGTTAAGCAGTTGCAATTGTAAGCATGATTGCAGATCATAAGAAATACTAACACAGAGCAGAACGCAGAGCACTGCATCAATCAAAGATGAGAAAATGAACGCACTGTCACTAACACAGTAATACAAGTGAATAGAATATGATATCGAGATATTTAAGTTATAAGTTCAACATGCTTAATTGTAAGTCAAGGTGCAACTTACAATTAAGCCTGAACGATATTCAAATAATCACTAAACGGCAGTGATGGAACTAGCTCAGTGATTGCAAAACCCTCCTAAACCATACCCTTCGAACTGTTGATGAAGTCGTCGTATTGATTGGCTTCTTGCTCGGTGCTGGAACTGTGGATGGTTTCAACTCTGAATCAATTTCTTCGAATCTTAATTTCTGCTGATTTGCCAACGATCCTTTTGGATGAGGTGTTTCCAAACGCAATTGCTCGGTGAGACTGACTAATTCTTCTGAATTTGACGTTGCCGTCAAAGAACGCTGAAACAACAACTAATTCAGACTGATTTTGGAATTTCCTTTCGAAACAAAACATTTTCTCAAATGAAATCATATTTCGTCGCTGGATTCGAACTGATAACGAAACAAAAACACATACTGCCCAATCAATGGATAAGCTTCACAGATTTAATTCTCTAAAATATCAAAAACAGTCCATATTATGACCAAGTACGCACCTTTCTCGACGACATATCTTCAACCGTTTCAATCCGTTTGCTCAAAGATCTCGAAAATGCTGTCATTATGCGTACATCTTGAGCGCTCGCTTCCAACTCTCTTACCATCTGCAAAATGTTACACATCAAATAACATCGATAATCCCGCTAACAAAACTGCCATTCAACCCATATCGAAATGCCTTTTAAATCTATCACCTATGTCCACAAATTATAGCTCATCAATGGATGAACATACATTTTATAC